TTGAAGTCAGGAGGAGAAGGGGATGACAGAGGATGAGATGGCTGGATGGCATCACTGACTCGATGGACATGAATTTGAGCAAACTCCAGGAGTTGGTGATGGACAGGGAAGCCTGGCGTGCTGCAGTTCATGGGGTCACAAAAAGTCGGATACAACTGAGCAACTAAACTGAACTGAACCAGATGGTTATGGATCCTTGACATTGTATCAGTATTGATGGGAAATAGTGACAGCTCAGGTCTCAAATAAGGGAGGTAGGATGACTGTTATTTAGAACCTTTACTGGCTTTAACTGTCTACCTTCAAATAGATTCCTACACATGATCCCCGTCCCTCTACCACCCAAACCTACCTGGTTCTTAATTCTCCTACTTCCGCTGATGGTAGCATCATCATCTGAGCTACTAAAATTTAAAATCCGTGTTCCCTTTGACTCTCATATCACTTCAAAACTCTGCAGTCCCTCAGTCCACAAATTTGACCTCCCATCTACACCCACTTTCCTATTCCTACTGTTACTGTTGCAGAAACCAGTACTTGAGAAGCCAAGGACCACACTTGGAGAGTTGGAGAACTCAGGTTTTTCAGTGCCGTCCAGCCCAGAGGAGCTAACACTCCGGGCTCTGAGCCTGAACAGAGAGATTACAGAGTTTATATAGACAGACTGTGCTGGGCAACACGAGCTGTTAATGAGCTGGTTTAAGGGGTTTTGCGCACGCCGGAACAACAGTCAAGATGGGGAGGGGGATGCCTGGCCTGGACAGGCATGATTATGCAGGTTTGCAGGGGCCGGGTGATTGCAAAGAGCAGGACAAGGGTGAGTGAGATAAACTCCAGTTCCTAGTATTGCAAGTCCCCACTTTCTGAGACTACATGACCTGCATGATCTAGACTTTGCAAGGGGCAAGCTGAGTTGCAGAGGCAGAAGGAGAAGGAGGTGAGGTAAAAATTTAACTTTTCCCCTTCATTGCTACTAAAAATGGCTTTGTATAAGAACAAAGCTCAATTAAAGAATAAGTTTTCCTCCACACTGTGAAAGCATCGAGGACCCTCGGGTAACTTAACATCATTTAATTTGTATCACAGACTTCAGGCTCGCCTCTGCTTCTCTAGTGCCTCAGAAAAGCAGCACGTTTGAAATAGTTGGATTATCATGGCACATAGACAACCAGTTTTAAATGATATCAAATGGAACAATGAACTTAGCACTGCTCATTTTTTAATCTTTATAAAACTAGGAAAATCATGGACGTGTCCCTCTGTAATAGGAAATGGGAAGGCCAGCCTTTCTCTTTTGAAACAGTGGCCTTGTTTTATTGTCTTTGACAATAAAGAGGTCTTTGAAAAAGAGTATGTGTGTATATATACAACTGAATCACTTTGCTGTACACCTAGAACTAACACAATATTATAAATGAATTACACTCCAGTTTTACCAATTTTAAGCAATATATAATCATTAGAATGGAGAATTTGGAAATTATAATAAATGCCTAGTTTTAAAGAACAAGACTTCGGTTTTTTTAAAAATTGGTAATAAATAAATAAGTCTTAAACAGTGGTTGAATTTGTAGTTTAGCCACTGCCAAAAGGACCACTAATTAATATTGATTATAACACCATTAAATCATAGAAATAACTAAGCTTTTATTAAAATTTCAAAGAGCAATTTTATACAGTCTTCTCTTGCTCCTTAAATTGAATCATCTTGCTATTTAAGTGACTTTTTCACACAATCACTTATCAGTGGCACCAAACAGGCTAACTTCTTCGGAAAAAAGTACAGAATAATAGAGATGTTTGCTTTGAGAGGTGTGGATGGGTGGTAACAACCAGCCCAATCACTCGTCAAGCTGAAGTCTTGTTTTCCCAAGTAGTTTGGACAGGATTCACATCTCTTGGATCAGTACTGCACTCTGCAGTCAGGGAGGCTTATATACAGCCTCGGATTTCTCTGAGCTTCCATTTCCTCATCCAAAGGATGTAGAGAATAGTGACATCTCCCTACAAACTTTTCTGGAACAGTCCCCAGCACCTCAGTCAGCTGCCTACTAGCCTGAGTTGTCCCCCTGCCCAAGCCTGGATGTCTCATGCCTCCCCTGAAGTGAGCAGCCTGTCTGAGAGGCCTGTCTAGCTTTTAACATTCCAACAGAGTGTGACTCACTTCAATCTTTTCCCATCTCACATCTAGTTCTCATTTCAATAAACAATCCAGAAAAATCTATATCGTTTAGAGGATTTGGTCATTATTTATAACTATTTGGCATGTGCCCAGAAATGGTTTAGGTGTCTGGTACTGCAGAGGGTCCAAGCATCTAAATCACCCATCAGAGAGTCTCCCAGTTCTAATCATGGAATTCTAACCCTGAAGGAAGCACAGCATCACATTTTTTCAGCATTTGGACATGCTTTCACAAGTAGCAGGTTAGTATGTAAGGGCATGCGCTCTTACTTAAGAACAACATGACAACCAGCTATCCGAATGATTCTTCTGTGTCTCATAAAACCAGGGTTAGATATTTTCCATGTTGTTTAACCCCTTTATTTGAAGGCTCATACATTAACTCCTACTTGAGTTGTCTGCAGCTGAACTGTATTCTTCTGACTGTCAGGAAAATTGAAAACTATTCAATCTAGTGTGTGTAGCTCTTGACCTCGCTGCCAGAAGGCTTAGAGCCCACTTCTGGCCTCTGTGCCAGTCGGTCCAATGTAGCTGCCTAACTGTCCACTCTCCTTGCATCCTTCAGCGGTGCTCTGCAGGGCTTTACTATGAATTATCTTATTTTGGACTGTGTTTCAATCTTGAAAGCATCAGTCGCTCAGTCATGTCCGACTCTTGCGGCCCCATGGACTGTAGCCCGCCAGGTTCCTCTGTCCATGGGATTCTCCAGGGAAGAATACTGGAGTGGGTTGCCATGCCCTCCTCCAGGGGATCTTTCTGACCATGGATTGAACCCCGGTCTGCTGCATTGCAGGCAGGAGACTGGCAGAGCAGAGAGAGGCATCGCCCACATCCCTCCCCTAAGCTCCTCCATCAGCAGTGTGCAGTCCAGCTTTCAGGTGAAGGAGCTTCCACCTTGGGTATAGTGGACAGAGTCCTGTGTTACCCAGACACCTCTTCAGGGGTGAAGTACTTTTCACCCACTACTGCAAACAGACTGAGTAGCAATCAGTCTTCAAGTCTGGCCTAAAGGGAAGCACTTTGCCTGCGGGCACAGCCCCTCCCTCAAACAGTCTGCATTCAATGACTGGCTTCCTACTCAGGAATGGTCTGCCCCCTTGATCCAACTCAGAGCTACAGTAAGGGATCATCTCAGCTTCAGAGAGTCCTGTGAAGTCTGGTGAGGTCTTTGTAAAACCATGGATAATCCAAATTCCCCTTCTGCTGAATCCTTCTTTCTATCCATCTCTTCTCCATGTGTTCAAATAAAGAGCAACATTTAATAAACTTCTTCACTGCTAAAAAAAAAATTACTGTTTAAGCCAAATTTTAATCAAGTCCTTTCTAAAATAGGAGGCAGTAAAATATGCAACCCTAAATTTAAAAAATTTGATAGTTCATTCAATTCAACAGTAGGAATAACAGCAAAAATACTGAGTAAGTATTATAAGCAAATGTGAGTAAATCACTGTATAGATACTTGAGATATCTGTTCAGAAAGGATCAAACAGAAGTGATTAAAAACTAGGAATGTTTGTTTCATATATATATATATATATATATATATATATATATATATATATATATTATATGCAAAGAACCGACACATTGGAAAAGACCCTGATGCTGGGAAAAATTGAAGCCAGGAGGAGAAGGGGGCAGCAGAGAATGAGATGGTTGGATGGCATCACCAACGCAATGGACATGAGTTTGAGCAAATTCTGGGAGTTGGTGATGGACAGGGAAGCCTGGCGTGCTGCAGTCCATGGGGTCACAAAGAGTCGGACATGACTTAAAGACTGAACAACAACAACCATATATATATATACCCAGGTGGCGCTAGTGGTAAAGAACCTGCCTGCCAAAGCAAGAGACCTAAGAGACATGGGTTCCATCCCTGGGTCGGGAAGATCCCAGGGAGGAGGAAATGGCAACCCACTCCAGTATTCTTGCCTGGAGAATCCCATGGACGGAGGAGCCTGGCAGGCTACAGTCCTTGGTGTTGCAAAGAGTTAGACACAACTGAAGTGACTTAGCATGCATGCATCGCTTAGCATGCACACATATACATGTGTGTGTGTGTGTGTGTGTGTGTGTGTGTGTGTGTGTGTATGAGCGCTAAGTCACTCTAGTTATGTTCGACTTTTGTTCTTGGACAGCTTTATGTTCTTGGACAGGTCATGTATCATCAAATTTGTTCAGATTCATCATCTCAAAACTGTAGGTAAAAACAGTCACAACTAATGCTGCTTTGAGGATTAACGAGATACTTAGGATATAGTGAGCTCTCAATGAAAACTTTTAGCTTTTACTCTTACAACTCTCTTTTTCTAATTTATAACAATGCTTCTAACAACATGTCCTAACAATGTTTAAAAGTGCTGTATTCAGAAGTTGAACACTAGGCTTACATCTTTTTAGGCAGAATGACGTTTCTTACTCAAAAGCTAAAGATTAGAAAGTCCTTTGTTTTGCTTCCAGTAGATGTTGCCTCACTTAGGCTCCAGTGATATAGAACATATGAAAATCTTTAACAGGCCCATTTGGGCAGGCAGGAGCAGCTGTGATCATGGAAGGGTGGGACCCAGACTTAGTAACTTACAGGGTCAGGGAACCATGCAGCCCCGCTTCCTTGACCCCCGCCTCCCCGCCACCGGACATTAGGGAAACAAAGGAAAAGGTAGCAGAAACAAGATCTCTCTCCTTGGGAATCACCAAACAAGAGCTGAATGAAGTCTTGATCTGTCTCCTCCAAGCTCACCCATGAGTAAAGCCTTCACTCAGTAGCCAGCTTTCCCATGTTCAGAGAGGATGGGGTCTAGCAACATACCCACTTGAGATGATGACTGCATATGGTGAGCAAGCCCCAGACCCTGGTAGTCAAGGGATCGGGTCATGGGTTGGGGAGAAATATGGTGACAAGGACAACTGCTATCTCAGAAGCCCAGCTTCAGCTCTCAACCATCATCCTTGGGCTCCGCCCTGCTCCCAGCAGCAGCAGCAGACGGACAACAGCACCAAACTCTTTGGGCTTAAAAGCATCAGCAATCAGATGACCAAGGAGAGAAAACAAATAAATGTGTCACTTTATTATGCTCCAGACATTGTGTTAAATGGTTTACATGGAATATCTAATAGAATATGTAAAACAAAAATGTGAAATGCATGAAAGCTAGATTTCTTAAAATTGATATTTTTTTTATTCCTAATTGTATACTGTTATTTCATTACATCCTTATTTAGAGGAGTCACAGTGAATTACAGCATAAGCCTACTTTTTAAAGCACCTATTCATGGCTTCCCTGTGTGGCTCAGATGGTAAAGAATCTGCCTGCAATGCAGGAGACCCAAGTTTGATCCCCAGATCAGGAAGATCCTCTGGAGAAGGGAATGGCTACCCACTCCAGTATTCTATACATGTGTGTTTTTCAATATTTATCTATTGAAATGGAGTCAAGATCCCTTTATTGGGGGTTTTTAGATTCAGTTAGGTATCTATCAGTTCTCGTTAGTGATCATCTGAGATTGCGTTAGCCAGTACCATAATCACCAGCCACATGTGGCCACTGAGCCCTTGAAATATGTTACTGTTTCATTTTATTTAATTGTGACATGACATTTTCCAATAGTCATGTATGGATGTGAGAGTTGGACCATAAAGAAAGCTGAGTCCCAAAGAATAGATGCTTTTGAACTGTGGTGTTGAGAGTGCTTTGGACCACAAGGAGATCCAACCAGTCCATCCTAAAGGAAATCAGTCCTGGGTGTTCATTGGAAGGACTGATGCTCAAGCTGAAACTCCGGTACTGTGGCCACCTGATGCGAAGAACTGACTCACTGGGAAAGACCCTGATGCTGGGAAAGATTGAAGTCGGGAGGAGAAGGGGACAACAGAGGATGAGATAGTTGGATGGCATTACCTACTCGATGGACATGAATTTGAGCAAGCTCTGGGAGTTGGTGATGGACAGGGAGGCCTGGCGTGCTGCAGTCCACGGGGTTGCAAAGAGTCGGACACGACTGAGCAACTGAACTGACACTTTACCTTTAAAAACTGAAAGAGTATAAAATATTTTTCTAACAATATGACTTGATTATTTTGGTAGGACAGTATTTAACCTTCACTGTGAAATTTTCTCTCATGTTACAGTATTATATACACTATTTCTAACATTACATGTAAACACTGTACTGACCAAGTTGATGTCTATATACTGATTTCAATTTCAGTGATTTTTTTTCTAAAGACCAATGTAACATTATAATGTGTTTATTTGAATGTTTTATACAGGCAGCACAGGTTCCAATGATACCTCTATAAATTAGAATTGGCATAATTTGTACCAATTATAAATAATAAATTATATAAAACATTGTTTAATTGTAATACAATTAAATTATTTTTCTATTTAAAAAATAAGCATGGACAAGTTTTTTAATTCAAAGTGAAGGCATCATACTGATGCAGAATTGCATACAGGTGTAAAAGCTAGTCAGAACACTAAAAAAATGATTGGTAAAGGTATGTTGTAAATTTCACAATGAATGACAACTATAATTTGCTGACATGGAGCAAAATGAGAAAGATTGTTGTATAAAAATCTTTAGAAATAATAAAGTACACAATGTTAAGAGACTTTTCAGAAAACACATACTGAATTTGATACATTTCCTCCAGTGTTTGAAAAAGAACTGATGAAATTAAGTTACCTGAAATCAGGATTAAACATCTAAGTTTTTCTTGTTTTGTACACAATTTATCTTCACTTTCTCTTTTACAGCTTTATTGAGATATAATTGAAATACAAAAACCTGCACATATTTAATGTATTCAATTTGTTGAGTTTTTACATATGTTATATATACCTGTGATACCATCACCACATTAAAGGTAATAAACATGTCTATCACCTCCAAAAATTTCTTTGTGTCCCTTTGTGTGTGTGTGTGTGTGTGTGTGTGTGAACACTTAACATGAGATCTACCTTCTTAACAAAATTTTAAGTGCACAATATCATATTGTTAACTACAGGTACGTTGTATAGCATATTTCTACAACTTATCTGTCTTCTATGACTGTAAATTTATACAAGTTGAATAGCAATTGCCCATTTTTCTCTTCCTCCACCCACTGGCAACCAACATTCTATTTTCTACTTCTGTAATTTGATTAGTTTAGATAGCTCATATAAGTAGAATCATGCAGTATTTGCCCTTCTGTGACTCACTTACTTAGCATGGTGTCTTCCAGATCTATCCATGTCGTCCCAAATTCTTAAGACTTTTAATAAGATTTGAGCTTGTCATTTTGGCCAGATACAAAATTGCTTTCATTTTCACATTTTTAGATGGAGAGATGGTAAAAGAAACTATTATAGCAGTTACAGAAATTTTTGTTAGAAAATTGAGAAAAGCACTAAAGAAGATATTTCACAAAAGTAAGAACTTCAATTAAGCCACCACAACTATTGTTTATGAAATACAAGATCTTCTTAACAATACCAAAGATCAACTGATTCAAAATCAGAAAAATTGTAAAAAAATTTGCACCTGTCTGTCTAGGTCGCAGATAAGCTTTTCCTTTTCTTGGGTTGCCTTTAAATGAGTCACAAGATATAAAAGACACTGTACAATTAGTACTTTGGGTATGTTTTGTCTCCAAAGATTTCTTAGTTTACAAAGAAATATTTTCCATTCACGGCTCTAAAATAGCAAACTCACAGTATAGATATTTTTAAAATATTTTACATCTGTCAAAGAAGAGTATTGGCTAGATATTAAAAAATTAGTTTCTAACACAACAAACAGTTTTCAGCTGTATTAGGCCAAAAAAACCAGTTTATTGGAATTTTTTAAAAGGAACTGATGTTTCCTTTAAGTCTTTGTTTCACTGTATGATACATTGTACAAATATTTATGCTTAGCTGAAGCAGACACCATGAAATTTGTCATGGATATAGTTGTTAAAATCATTCAGTGTTTGTATGCTAATCTAATGAACCATTGCAAGTGGATAGAACTGTTGAAAGAAATAAAAGATGGTGAGTTTAATGGCCTCATGACTTCTTTGCCAATGCTCTTTGGTTGAGTTGTGAGGGTTTTGCAAGGATTTGCTGTACCCTTAACTCTAATTTAAGATTTTCTTGAAAATACAGGAATATTTGACAAATAGCCAAAAATCAAAAACAAAATATCAATGTGATTTATACTTTCAGACTGCATATGAATGAGCTAAATTTGAAGGTATAAGAAAAGGAAAAGCTTATCTGTGATCTAGTTAGAGAGACACAAGATTTTAAGTTGAAATTGAAACTTTTCATTATATGATCAATTAATACTGATTTTACAGTTTTCTTATATGAGCAAATATGAAAACAATTTTCATTGTGATTGATAGCATTTAGGTAAACTGGCTGTAAAAGCTACAAGAAAAATGTGAAGAACTCAACACTGATAAAGAATTGCTTCTCAATCTGTCAATACCATTTTGAGCTCAGTGTTTATATTACTGAGCTAACACAAGAGTTAATGAATTTACTTAGCTTAGACATGAATCTGAAACTGGTATCTTTGGCTTTTGAAGTCGAAGCAATTATTTTTAAAAAGATAAACCAGTCTTGTCCATGTGGATGCAGTATTAAAGGAGAATGATTTTTCAGTTATGGGAGAAATGTAAATATGTTTAGAACTCCTTAAGTGCATGAATATACTTATCCAACTGTGAATTACATAAAATTGCAAATACTTCACCTATTCCTCATAAAAACTGAGCATCCAAATATGGTGTGCTGTAAGTCTAAAGTACACTTAGTAAGAATAAAACAGCCTAAAATATCTCAATATGTTTTATATTGACTATATGACTGAATACCTCATGCTATGTAAAGCATATTATTAAAATTAATTTGATTATTTATTTTTACCTTTTTAAAATGGCTAGAAGAAAGTTTTAAATTACATATGTGACTTATAATATATTTCTACCAGACAGCGCTGGTCTGGGGGAGTCTACAAACTGTCTTCTCACTAAAGACTGTACTGAGTTGCCTCAAAGAACAGGGAGGGGAGGAAGCAGCCTGGACAAATGACAGGTCCCCTGATAACTGGGAGAATGTTTGCCCTGTTGGGTATATAATGTTTGTCAGTGCTTGCCATTGTATTTTTGCTCTTTCCTCTTCTAACCACAAAAAGAAAAGAAAGAGGAAGGTCACTTCTAGAAGCTTAAAGCCAGATTTCCTCTGGAAATCTAGCTGGCCAGTTAAAATACGTCAGAGTCTATTCAGAGAACCAAGGAGTGAAACAGAATGCCCTTTCTCTAGTAAGTCTAAGAAAATAACTACAGGCTTTTTGATCCCAGATCTATCAGAAGCCCAAAAGCAGAGAAACGGAGAGACATTGGAAGAGCTAAGACTCTTTAACACTGGAAATTTCATCTAAGAAGTTAAAACATTGTTTTTGCAAAGTAAGAAAAGTGGGGTTAGGTGAAGTAGTGATTAGAGCTAAAATCGAAGTTCAATGGGAGAAGGATATTTAATTTGCCCTTGTGTATTTTTTCTTTCTGTATTTCCCTAAAGTATACAAGAATCATACACAATGACTAGTTATGACTTAATAATTCATACTCTTGTTTTAACAATCATATTTTGGAAGAATATCAGTATAAATGATCAGATTGTTTGGTATTTTGGCATGGTTAGGGAAAGGTTTTGTTTGTTTGGGGAGGTAGGGTGCAATGGAGAAATAACCCATTTACCTGGTGGCAGATACATGGAACTTGGACATGGAAACTGGGAGGAAATGAACACTTGCTGAACAATCTTGCACACTCAGCCATGGTGCTCTGTCTGTGTCATAACCAGCTTTCTGCCTGGCACAGTGCCTGCCACCACGTAGGCGGCCAGCATCATTTGCTGGATTGAATTATAAAAATGAGATCATTTCCACCAAGAGTTTTGTTGTCTAATCAGAAGACAGAATGCAAACCATGAAAAATTAAATAAATACAGTTGGTTTTATTTTTGTGTATTTTTGTACTGTTTGAATTTGTTTTGTTAATTATAAAAACCTTTTTACTGTGTGTGTGTGTGTGTGTTTTCTTTTTTTTTTTAAGAAAAGACAATGGGTACACAGGATATAATACAGATATTGCTTTTACTACCT